TCCTTAAGACACTGTAGACTTTTATCTTTAGAGACAGAAAATATGAAGGGTACACACTATTTGTATTTAATTTGACTTGGGATGAGCGATGGGACCATGGAAACCCGGATAGCACAATAAGAGTCCCTGCACAGGATGAGGTGTGTCTTTCCCTCCACGGCTCTCCTCACATCTACCTTCATGAATCTGCTATGCTGCAGTTAGTAAGGCCAATCAATTTTTTCTTTAGAACTGGAGTAGAAATGCCTGTCAAGTTGGAAGTCCTAAATTATTTAGATAAACCAGAGCTTTCCATGAGCCTGCTACATGAGTAACTCTTAAAAAATCACTGCGCCATAACACTAGCATGAAAAGCCACTGTGTGGTTCACAAAGCAAGTGACCTTAGGAAGATGTCAAGGGAATTGAGACAGGACTTTCACGTCAAGGAGTGTCAAGTTTCTGTCTAAAAAATAAGAATAATGAGCCAGGTACCAGAGGCTTACACTTGTAATCCTAGCTATTCAGGAGGCTGAAATCAGAGGATGGTAGCTTAAAGCCAGCCTGGGCAGGAAAGTCCATGAGAGTCTTATCTCCAATTAACCTCCAAAAAAAGCCAGAAGTGGAACTGTGGCTCAAATGATAGAGCACTAGGCTTCAGTACAATAGAGCTCAGGACAGTGCCCAGGCTTTGAGTTCAAGCCCCAGGATGCACGCCTACCACAGAGAGAGAGAGAGAGAGAGAGAGAGAGAGAGAGAGAGAGAGACATGTAGAGGCAGAGCTGAAAGCATAAACCACTGGAATTAGAATTTCCATCTGTCAGCTGAGCAGAGTCAAGCATCAGCTCCCAAGGGGTGCATATGTACCAAATAAAATGAATGCAAGGATTATCTAGGATTTGCTCTATTTGTTGCTTAAAGGTTGGTAGGATTGTTCTTTTACTCAACTGAAAACTTTAGGTCATGGTATTACATTGATGATATAATAATATTGGTTGCCATTTTGAGTTATCTAAAGAGAAAATCAGAGTTGATCTACTTTAATTAGTTCTGCTATTCAATTGCAAGAATTGTGAGCTCTATAGGAAAGAAATAAGCTTAGATAAATTCTACCTTCTCATAAAGTAAGTGTATGGGAAATTATAATTCATGACACATAATGAATTTTATGAATTAAAACATGACAATATTTTTGTCTGCTCAATTCTTTCATTAATTAACAAATAATTGAAAAGATCTGTTAAGCATGTCATAAAACCCAAATAGATGATATTGTTGTCTTTTATCCAAAACACTACTAATTTTAACTATCTCCTGAGCCAAATTGAAATTTGGAGTTTTTAAACTTTATTTTTCCTTTTCATTCAACAACAAACTAAATTTGTGAATCTTAGTTTCCAAACTCATTGATCACAGTGTTTGGTAACCAAAGTCCTTAGAATAATTAATAACCACTTAAAGGAGCTGGTGGCTCCTGCGTGTAATCCTAGCTACTCAGGAGACTGCAAACATAGGATCAAGGTTCAAGGCCAACGTGGGCAGTACAATCTATGAGACTCTTATCTCCAAGAAAGTACCTTAAAAAGCTATAAGTGGAGCTCTGGCTCAAGTGATAGAGCTCCAGCCTCGAGCAAAATGAAGTTCAGGGACAGTGCCTAGGCTCTGAGTTAAAATATATAAATATAACCATATCTGTGCACTGGTGCCTTAAGCCTGTCTCCTAGCTTCTTAGGAGGCTGAGGTCTGAGGATCATGATTCAAAACCAGCCCGGGAAGGAACATCTGTGACTCTTGTCTCTGCTAAGACTCCCCTAAAAGCCAGAAGTGGAGCTGTGGCTCAAGTGGTAGAGCACTAGCCTTGAGCAAAAGAAGCTCAGAGACAGAGTCCAGGCCCTGAGATCACCCCAGGATGAACACACACACACACACACACACACACACACACACACAGATGTGAGCCATGAAGTAGCTATTCAATATCAGCTATTTATGTAGTTACACTTGGTGCTAAGACACAGAGCAGCAAATAAAGCTGAAGGACATTTGTCTTCCTGCAACATGTATGGAAATGAGAGAAGGGTACAGCAAAGAAGATAACAAACTCATAAAACCCTTTAAGAAGGAAATGAAACAGAATTGAGAGAATGCAGTGATAGGTTGAGAAGCTTTGCTTGTTGTGGTCCTAGGGCTTGAACCTAGGGCCTGGGTGTTGTTCTGAGCTTTTCTGCTTAAGACCAGTGCTCAATCATTTGAGTCACAGCTCCACTTTCTTATCTCTCTCTCTCTTTCTCTCTCTCTCTCCTTCCTTCCCTTCCTTCCTTCTTTCCTTCCATCCTTCTTTCTTGCCTTCCCTCCATCCTTCCCTCCATCTTTCCCTCCCTCCTTTCTTATTAGTATTTTCCATAAGCTGAGATGAGACAAACAAGACTAGAAGGGAAGAAGAGAGGAAAGAAGGGGAGTAGAATATGAGAGCAGACAGACAGACAGCAATATCATTTCATGGTTTTAGAGAGCTCAGTGGGTCCTCCCAAATGGTCTTCTGGGGTCTTCAATGCTCAGAGACATATTGGTCACCAAAGGAGGCAGCACCAGAAAGGCCTGGCAAGCTTGGTTGAGTGAGACTAGGTCAGACAGCTGGCTCAAGCCTTAATGTTTAGCTTAGTTCAAATCTAGTGCTATGATTGGTGACCCCAGTAAGTTTGAATGCTAGGACAGTTACAGTGATGATGAATTTTTGAGAAATACAGTAGAAATAAAGTAGAAAAGCACAACACTGGGTGGGGGGGGTCTATGAGAGGAAGAATGGACTTGGCTGTGAATGACTTCAACCAAAAGACTGGAGTCCCCAGGGGAACCGAGGAAGGAAAGGATGGAATCTGTCAGCACGGGCATTCTCCTTCTGCTTCCAGACACTGTGAAGGAACCATCTTGGCTTCACCTTGGGGTCCATAGCCATGGCTCCAGGTGATTTTGGACTGAAACCTCTGATGTCAGGAGCCTGAATAGATCATTTTCCTTTAAATTGTTTCATAGCCATCAAAAGCTAACAGAATACAAAAGGAATTTTATAATTCTCCTTTCAGGGTTCTGGGAAAGCCTGAAGATAGATTCTGATTCATATGCCATGGCTGTGGAAGATAGGCTGTAGACTCAGTAGCTTGTATTTTGAAGAGGATTCTATGTGGCACCTGAGGACAGACATTTCACAGCCAGGAACAACAAAGGAAAAACACGATGGTCAATTCACATTACTTAGGAACAGGTTTTATTCCAAAGCATAGAATCCAAGCAAAAGTAGTTGTATCAAAAAGAAAAAAAGAAAAGGATAGTTCATTAGAAAGATGTGAGGAGTCAGCCGATGGTGGCTCACACATCTGTAATCCTAGCTACTCAGGAGGCTGAGATCTGAGGATTGTGATTTGAAGCCAGGCTGGACAAGAAAGTCTATGAGACTCTTATCTCCAATTAACCACCAAAAAAGCAGGAAGTAGAGCTGGGGTTGAAGTAGTAGCATGCTAGCTTTGTGGACAAAAGCTAAGGGAGAGTGCCCGCCCAGGCCCTGAGTTCAAGTCTTAGGACTTCCCCTCATTCCCCACCCCCCACAGAGTTGAGAAGATTCCATAAAATTCCATAAAATCCATGGTTCCACTTCTCAGGTCTGAATTTTGCCCTAATTTCTGCTCAATCTCAGCTCCCTCTGGTTACACAAAGGAATCCCAAGGCCAAACTTAGGTCACCTGTTTACTTTTGGACCCATGGCCGTGAGCAAAGTCGAGTAGTAAAAGCATTGATATCAGAGTCTACTCCTAAGAGCCACTGGCAAAGGAGTTGTGGAACAGGGCAGATGAACAGCTGAGCAACCACTGTTACACAGACCTATGCTTAAGCATTCCTATCTCTGTGTTTATTTTATCTGAACATGATAATGAGACATAGTTCTATATAACTTCAAGAAACAGTCCTCTAAGAACTCTTCCTCGTCCCGACAGCTTATTTTCAAAGAGTGCAGCTAATGAGACAAAAACATCTGGCAAAAACATGTAAAACAATGAGTGCATTTTTCTTGAGTGTTTTCCTTTTGGTTTGTTTGTTTTTGGATGCTGGTCTAGGGCTTGAACTCAGGGCCTGGGCGTTGTTCCTGAGCTTTGTTGCTCAAGACTAGTAATTTATCACTTGAGCTACAGCTTCGTATCCAGCTTTTTGGTGGTTAATTGGAGGTAAGAGTCTCGCAGACTTTCCTGCTTGAACCACAATCTCTGCCTTCTGAGTTGCTAGAATTAGAGGTATGAGCCACCAATGCCTGGTGTTGGATTTCAGCCTAATAGTAAGGTCTGTTTTGACATTCTGGGATCTTAATGATTTGTTAGGTACAACTTGCTCTGGTTCTCAGCTCAATGAAGCAGTTGAACTAGATTTTCAAAATGGATTTCTAATACTCTTAGTTTAGTATTTCCACTTGCTGGCAGAGAATAGCTTAGGAATTTGACCTCAGGTTACTTGAAGATATACAGAAAAAAAGATGGTACAAGATAGACTATCTGTAGATCTGAGTTTGATCTCAGTGCTGACAATGTTTTCTACTTCAAATTCACATAAGCCATTACATTCCTAAACTCAAGTTTCCTTGTGCCATGCGGACAATGCCTTTTTGTATCTATTGAGTAGGAAGACTATAAAGCACCTGGTTTGCAGGGGATGTTCAATTCTTGTTATTGTTATCAGTCTGACAATCTCTAATCTTTCCTATATATGACTGTATTATCTTGTATGAAGTATGCAAGTCAGTGGAAATTAAATTCTTATCCATGTGCTCTTATGGTATGTCTAAAGAAAAGAAAATTAGCGTATTTTGTAGATTCCAGAAGGAATTTACTGGACTCTTGAAGATTATTCCTTCCTGGTTTATTAGTCCAAGGCTGGCTTAGAACTGTGGTCCTCAGATTACAGGCATGAACCCACGACGCCCTTGAGTCATCTGTAAGTACCTCTGTCCCATGTGACTTTCCCATGTCCTTCATGCAGGTGTGACAGTCTGGAGCTGGACAATAAAATCCGGGATCTGATTGAGAGAAATTCTCCTCCTGATCCAAAAGGGGTCACACCAAGTCACAGAACTTTCTCTTCCCCAAAGGTAAAAACGTAAAAATAAGAATGCATTTTTTAATATTTCATTTCAATATGTCCTTAACAGCTTATTCACCCAAAAGAATTGATGGGGGCAATCTTCCAATCATGTACCGGAAATCTTATACTTCCTTCACTTTGCGGCTGGGAAGGAAAGCAAAGCAGTTGAAATGTTTTCTTGCAGTCATTTTCTGTTAGGCAGCAGGGGGCACAGGAGATGAGGGAAGAGACCCTCTTCTTACAAAGAGCATTTGGGAACAATGGAGGAAGTCACTCCATTGACGAAATCAGTCCAACATCTGTATATGTCTGCTTGGAATTGTTCTTGTGTTTGATTTACTTCACTTTTAAAGAAAAAAAGAAGCAGGCTTTTCTCACTAAAGAAGTTGTTTGACTTTGCATTTCCTGTTGTTTGAAGATATTTGTCTATGAAACTTTATATATGTAAAAACATGTAAGTTGCTGGGAGCTGCCTGTAAATCCTAGCTACTCAAGAGGCTGAGATATGAGGATTGAGGTTCAAAGCCATATTGGCATAGAAGCTCAAGGACAGCACCCAGATCCTGAGTTCAATTCCCAGTGCTGGCACAAATAAAACAACATCTTCAAGGTTAAAACCCAGCTAATGGGCTGGGAATGTGGCTTAGTGGTAGAGTGCTTGCCTAGCATGCAGGAACCCTGGGTTTGATTCCTCAGTACCACTTAAATAGAAAAAGGCAGAAGTGGTGCTGTGTCTCAAGTGGTAGTGTGCTAGCCTTGAGCAAAAGAAGCTCAGGAACAGCACCTAGGCCCTGAGTTCAAGCCCCAGGACTGGCAATAAAAATAAAAACCGAGCTAAGGAATTTGTGGACAACTTTCCAGAAATGTATTTTCCTCTTCTGTAGCCTGAGCTTTTCAGTTGAAAGAATCTTTCATGGTCCTTACAAAACAGATGAAGTAAGTAGCTTTGGAGCTTGACTGGCAAAGATAACATTAAGTGATTTAGAAGTCAGTATAGAAATAACTTCCGGGGCTGGGAAGGTGCCTCAGTGGTAGATCGCTTGCCTTGCATGCATGAGGCCCTGGTTCAATTCCTCAGCACTACATAAGCAGAAAAAAAAGCGGAAGTGGCACTGTGGCTCAAGTGGTAGAGCGCTAGCTTTGAGGTGAAGAGCTAAGGGACAGCGCCCAGGCCCAGAGTGGATCCCCACCCCCCAAAAAAAAGGCAAGAAAAGAAAAGAAATAACTTCCGTTCTTACTTCTACAGTAATCCATGCTCATCGTAAAAATAATTTACGTGGATGAATACTAAGAGACAATGAAAATCACAAAACATTTCCTGTGGAGTCAGCTTGAGTTTCCTGGACAAATATTTATTCTTATAGTTGATATGCATCCATAAATTTGCATGTTTCTCTCTTCAAGAAAGCCCTAGAAGATCTGCCTCCAGTAGACCTCTCTCAGCAGAATCTCAGCAACTGAGCACCCTCCTCTATGTGTGTGTGTGTGTGTGTGTGTGTGTGTGTGTCCACTTTTCACTCTCAGATTGAGAGACAACAGACAGACAGGCAGGCAGACAGACAGAAAGACAGACTGAAAACTGACATAGAATATCTTTTATTGCCAGTCTTGGGGCTTAAACTCAGAAACCGAATGCTCTCCTTGAGCTTTTGTACTCAAGGCTAGAGCTCTACCACTTTAGCCACAGCTCCATTTCTGGCTTTCTGTGCTTAATCAGAGATAAGAGTCTCACAGACTTTCCTGCCCCAGCTAGCTTCAAATCTTGATCCTCAGATCTCAGCCTCCGTAGTAGCAAGGATTATAGGCATGAGCCACTAGTGCTTGAGTGTAAATGATTTTTTTTTCACTTACTAAAATGCAATGGAGAGTCCTGTACCTACCTCTTTTTTCCATATTCACAGTACAGAAATTGCATGCTGCACTGAAATAATTTTCCTTGCTTAAATCTCACTTCTTCCTGAAGGGCTGTATTTATGTACATATGTATTTTCTTCGTGCTGGTATTGGGACTTGAGCTCAGGGTTTTTGTACTCTTGTTTAGGTATTTTTGCTCAAGGCTGTACTCTACCATATGAGCCAGACCTTCCATTCTAGCTTTTTGCTAGTTACTTGGATATAAGAGTCTCTACCTAGGCTGTCTTCAAAATGTGATCCTGAGATCTCAGCCTCCTGAGTAGTTAGGATTAGGGGCATGAGCCACTTGTGCTTGGCTGGCTGTCTTTACAACACCTGTGACTTTTCAACTTTCATCTTTAGTGGACTTCCAACATATCTTCCCCAAATGTCCTCCAAAAGGAACTTCAAATATTTGATTTCTTGAGTGAACACAGCTCAATTTGCTGATGGCTTCCATGCTGAATTATTAATTACACAATAGCAGCCTGAAGAAGAAACCAAAGCAGAACCGAACAGAAAGCATGTATGTGCTTAACAACTAAAAAAAAAGAAAGCAAGAGAGGAAAATGTCAGCCAGTGCCGGAGAGCGTCTTTGTCTCCCCTGAGTGAAGGCAGCATAAAAATGATGGATTTTTCATGCAGAAGCTGTAAAGGAACTTCATTATGTCTTCATGAGATGGGAAGGGTGTAACTGGACAAAACAAATACTATTTCATGAGAAAGTGTGAGAAATACGCCCAGTTCCCTTTTCTTTTTCTCAACGAGTATTGCCAGGAATAAGTAAAGGAGGGAGAATTACCACAAGAGAAGTGAATAGACTGAATCACTACTTGAGGAAATGAAAAAGTAATTGAGTGTGTGTGTTGCCCAGTCTTGAACTTAAGGCCTGGGTGCTATCCCTGAGCTCCTTTTGTTCAAGGATAATGCTCTACCATGTGAGCCTCAGCTCCACTTCCAGTTTTATGGGGGTAGTTTATTGGAGTCTCACAGATTTTCCTGTCTGGGCTAGCTTTGAACTATGATCCTCTGATTTCAGCCTCCTGAGTAGCTAGAATTACCTGCATGAGCCATGGGTGCTGGCCCTGGAAAAGCATTATTGATGAGCATGAGGAGCTCCATCAGAATGAAAGTAATATCCTTAGAGAGTAGAAGTAGCATTTGGTGAGTGGAGTCCTTTAAAGTCTTATAGGCAAGGGGGAAAGAACTGTCCTAGAGCAAAATGCAAAAGAAAATGCACTTCTAGGTCAACAGATGCATCTCCAGGGATTCTAAGACTGCAGCAGCGAAAACTGTGAGGAAAATACAGCCTCAGTCCTCTTATCTATGACTCCTGCATGACTGGGATTGCAGACACTCCACACTACATCCAGCTTATTTGTTTAGATGGGCTCTTGCTCACATTTTGCCTGGCTAGTCTTGAAACGTGATTCTCTTAATCTGCCTCTCACCAAGCTTCCTGTATGAGCTGCTGTGCCCTGCCCAGGGGATAGGTTTTCAGACAGGTAGAGAAAGATGGTAATTATGAAGCAGATGATAAGTTGGTTAGTTACTCTTTTCTAAGCACCTGGGGAATTGGTTAAGTGTTTTGATTGTCATGAGCTACTAAGTATTTTCGCTATTGTTCTGGCTAATAGTCATTGTTGTTTCTTATCTTTTCCATTTGGTATATAACATACATCTCCAGTTTATTTTTACTGAAAATCTGCCATCATGCAATTCCTTCACTCAAGGTGGGGGGGGGGGCTTCAATTCTTCCATGTGAACCTATGACATGAGGTCAAAAGTTTGACAATACATAGTCTGATGCCAGTGGTTCACACCTGTAATCCCAGCTGGTCAGAGGCTGAGATCTCAGAATTGTGATTCAAAGCCAGCCCAGGCAGAAAAGTTCCTATGAGATTTTCATCTCTAATTAACCATCAAAACAGACAAAAGTGGAACTGGGACTCAAGTGGTAGTGTACTAGTCTGGAGTGAAAAAGTTCAGGGACAATGTGCAGGCCCTGAGTTCAATCCCCCTGCACAAAATGAAATTAGAAAAAAAAAGTCACATACATAGATTCAGAAAGATTTTCTTTCTTTTCTTTCATTCTTATACCTCCTTTATTTTTCCCCTACCATCCCTTTCCTCCCTACCTTCCCAACTCCTCCCTCCCTGTCCCCCTGAAAAGTTGTAAAGTTCATTTTCAACATAGTGTCTTGTACATCTCATTGTTACAATGGGTCATCCTGTATCTTTATTTCAGCATTGTGTTATTTCCCTTCCTCTCCCCAAATTAGAAAAATGTATATACAAGATGCAGGACATCAGAATCAATACATGACAACAAGGGTTATAGCATGGGGGGAAGAACATACAAAGAAACAAAAAAAAATCACATAGTACATTATAAGTACATTAAAAAGAACAGCAAGAAAGATAAAAGCTCTTGTGTCCCTATCTTGGGGTTCATTTCACTTAGCATCAGGTTATATGGTCATATATACAGAGCTTTTGACCTCTTCTGCGTGTCCTAGACATATACTAGTTGTTGCAGATAAGGGAAACCATGGGACCTATGTTTCTTTGAGTCTAGCTTACTTCACTTAATAGAATTTTTTCCAAGTCTCAGAAAGATTTTCAAAAGGACATTAAAGAAAACTCTTTCTTCCTTTTCTTTCCTTCCTTTCTTTCCTTCCCTTCCTCCCTCCCTTCCTCCCTTTCACTCTTTCTCTCTCTCCCTTCCTTCCTTCCTCCCTCCCCCCTCCCTCCCACCCCCTTTCTTTCTTTCTTTCTTTCTTTTCTTTCTTTCTTTCTTTCTTCCTTCCTTCCTTCCTTCCTTTCTCTCTCTCTCTTTCTTTCTCTTTTTTCTTTCTTTCTTTCTCTCTCTCATTCTTTCTTTCTTTCTTTCTTTCTTTCTTTCTGTCTTTCTCTCTTTCTTTCTCTCTTTCTTTCTTTCCCAGGATTTGATCAGAATCTTGTGATTTTGCCTGGCTTTTTTCTAAAAGCTGGTACACTACTACTTGTGCTACCATCTCTAGTCTGGCCTTTTGCTGGTTAAATGAAGTCACATGGACTTTTCTGCTTAGGCTGGATTTGAATCTCAGTCCTCCAGCTCTCTGCCTCTTGAGT